GTAAACAGTAAACAATACCATTCATAACTTCATCATTTATCATTTCACAAATAAACCAACCGTAATATATATTAAAATACTGTCAACTAGCTCACTATATTATTTATCACAATGAAGCCAAATGAATAACCAATACTTCCAAAATACTTGAAACAATACTTAACAACAATTTAACGAAACCACGTAAGCATATAGACATCAAGGATTATAAAACAATTGAGCCAGGAATCAATTAAATTGGAAACGGGGAAGGGATCATGTTTAATAGATAATTTGGTGGTGCATAGATACTCATCACCTCACCTATACACCCCGCACATGCAAATTCACATAGCAATTAGGTTGGGGATTCCTATTCCCTCAAGTCAAGGTTAAACCAAACACTTACCTCAAATTCGCCAGCCACTCACTACTCAATTATATCTTTCCCTTTTGAATTCACCTCCAATACACTGAAATCTAATCATAATTAACTTAATATCATTAATTAATGCTAAAGGAACTAACGTTTTTGAAAAATTATGGTTTTCCTACGTTTTCTCAAAAAAAAGTTAAAAACCGATCTCGAGCCCGCTTGATCCAAACTCGGAGTTCGGACCAAATTCTCTTTACCCATTCACCCCCGAGCCCGAGTATGCAATTAGTTTCGAAATCCGACCCAATTCGAGGTCAAAATTTAATTTTTACAAAATTCTCTAATTATATCCAAACCCCCAATTTTTACCATGAAAATTCTTGATTTTTGATTGAAAAGTGATGAAAAACATTGGGTAATCGAAAGAGAAGAGTTTAGAATTATTTACCAACACTTTGGGGATGAACCTGTGTGAAGAAAATTGCCTCTAGGTCTTTTTAGTTTGAAAATATGAAAAAAATGGTTGCTGCCCGAGTTGGATTCTGTGATTTTTCTTTTCTTTTTTTTTGAAGAAAAAGCGTGGAGCACCAGTACACCAAAAACTGTTATGACAGCAGATTTTTTTTTTCAAGTTAAAAACACCCCAAGCCTACCCGAAAATCGCCCGAGCCATCGGTGCTCCAAACCAAACATGCACACAAGTCTAAAAATATCATACGGACTTGCTCGTGCGATCAAATCATGAAAATAACATCTAAAACAATTAATTTAACCTCAAAACTCATGATTTTTCTCAAGAACACTTAAATTTCACTATGTCTCAATCGGACGTCTAAATCACATCAAATCAACTCCGATTCTCAGCAAATTTCAAAGATAAGACTTAAATATCATAACAAACCTGTATCGAGCTCCGAAACCAAAATACGGGCCCAATACCAATGGTTTCAAACATTAATTCTTTTCTTTATTTCATTAATAATTCAGCAAAACAATTTCTTTCAAAAATTAATTTCTAAGGCATGGGACCTCGGAATTAAATTCCGGGCACACACACAAGTCCCATATTTTACTGGAAACCTTTCGGGATCGTCAGAACACTGATCTGGGTCCATTTACTCAAAATGTTGACCAAAGTCAACTAAAACCAAACTTCAATTATAAAAATCATTATTTTTTATATTTTCGCATAAAAGCTTTTCGGTTTCACACCCGGACTACGCATGTGAATCGAGAATTTAAAATTACTCTTTTTATGGCTAATAAACCTAGAACGGAGTCTTAATTCATAAAATAACCCCTTGGGTCATCACATAGGCATTTGGACATAAATTGTGTGATAATTTCAAAAGGCAATTGGCACGACCCGAAATTCCCACCTTCGGGACTGTGATGGCGCCTAATATTTTACTTGCTAGGCAAGCCAGCGTTAGTAAATCTTTAAGCCAGTTTTTAATCAATTTCAATAAGTAAAGTAATTTAAACCGAAATGAAACTAAAGTTGAGTGGGGAATGATATAAAAATCAATGGTATCTAAATACACCCCGGATATGGAGTCACAAGTTTACGAGCATCTAGAGTTTCTACATATAGAGTTTGAAATAACTATAACTGTCTCGAATGATATGAACAATAAATAGGGAGAAAGTGGAAGGGGGGTTTCAAGGTCTGCGAACGCCAGCAGATCTACCTCGAGTCTCCAAAAGCAAAATCCGAGATGAAACGCCTCATAGACAGCTAGGACTAGTACCAAAATCTCCACAAGAAGTGGAGAGTATAGTATGAATATAACCGACCCAATGTACTCCGTAAGTGTCGAGCCTAACCTCGACGAGGTAATGACGAGGCTATGATAGGACACCCACGTAAATAAACCAGTACGGACAGAAATATACGAGCAACATAATAACAAATAGAGAATTAACAAGTACTTTTGTGAGGGGACATGTGAAAGGGGTACAAGATTTGATAAATACAGCAGGGAATGATAACCAGAAACAATCAATAAGCCCTTAACCAGCAAAACAAATAAACATAATGAACAAAACTGCATGGCATCACCCTTCGTGCTTTTACTCTCAACCTCACTATGAAGCAATAATAGCTGCACGTCATCACCCTTCGTGCTTTCACTCTCACTTTCATCATAAATAAATAGATACGGCACGCCATCATTCTTCGTGCATTAACTCACAAATATGGCATGGAATCACCCTTCGTGTATTAACACTCAATTATGGCACGACATTACCCTTTGTACATTAACTCACAAATATGGCACGACATCATCCTTCGTGCATTAACACTCTCCCTTACCATGTAACAATGAACATATAACAAAAAGGGAGATAGAATAAGCAAGAACAAGCCTTACATCAACAATGGTCCCACAATACCAATCTCAACTTCAGAACAATACTCAATTATCACAGATAGCTCATAATTGTAGAAAGAACGATCAATTTAGTAGTTAACTATTCTAAGCATGGATATCACGATCAAAGAGAGAAATAGATTACAAGAAACAAGTCCCACCCGCATGCTTTGACCCAACTACAATGCATACGTACTCGTTACCTCACATATACGTTGTACCCAACAATTAGACATGTAGCAATTAGACAAACAAGCCCTAATCCCTCAAGTCAAGGTTAACAAAAACACTTACCTCGCTCCAAAGACTAACTCAAAGCTCAACCATAACTTTGCCTTTCAAACAGGCCTCCGAACTAACCAAATCTAGCAAATTATCAACCAAATGATTAAAAATAAGCCTTAGGAACTACTCACGAATGAAAAAGGTTCAATTTAGGTCATTATGGAAAAAGTCAACAAAAGTCAACTCCCGGGCTCGCTTGGTCCAAACCCGAAATTCAGACTAAACCCTGATTTTCCATTCACCCCCGAGCCCGGTTATGTAATTTGTTTCGAAATCTGACCTTAATTTGAGGTTTAAATTCTAATTTTTACAAAATCCCTAATTCTTCTCAAACCCACAATTTCCACCATGAACATCCTAGATTTTAGGTTGAAATCTTATGAAATGTAATGAAAGATTGAAAGAAAATAGGTTAGAATCACTTACCAATGAATTCGGGAAGAGGGTCTCTTGGAAAAATCGCATCTAAGATTCTCTAGTTTTGAAAATCTGAAAGAATGAGATAATTCCCGTCTAACTAAGTTTTTTACCAGTTGTAGATGTCGCAATTGCGAATCCGCAAAGGCGAGATTCTCTTTGCAAATGCGAAGTCCTAGCATTTCTGCCATCATCGCAATTGCGAATAGTGGCCATCCCACAAATGCAACATTTTTTATCGCAAATGCGATCCAATGCTGAGCCAGCCATCTTCGTAATTGCGAAGAAAAATCTTCGCAATTGCGACCAAGATAGGAACCTAGGTTCCTCTAACCTTGCAATTGCGAGACAAGAGACCTGCACCAGAACTGAAGCACACCAGCATTTTCCTCTAGATGACCTATTACTGTAATATTTGAAGTTAAGAGCTTATTTGGCCAAGCTTTTGGGAGGCAATTTTTTTTTTTGTCAAAAAAGTACTTATTTGAAAATTTAAAGTGTTTGGCTAAGATATAGAAGTGCTTTTGAACAGTAACAACAAAAGAAGTTAATTTAGCTTTTGGGAATAAGCTACAAATTCTTACTTCTTAAAAAGCAGAAGCAAAAAATTATTTTTAAGAAAAAAATATTCTTACCATAAATTCATATTTTTTAAATTATCCGCGTAAGTTTAACCTTTTTCTTTACCTTTTTTATTTCTACCATTTCTTTTTTCTCTTTCATATTTTTATTGTATTCTTATTCTCTTTCCTCCTATTCCTCTTTGGAATAATCTCTATATTATAAATAGATTTCTTCTTTTCTCTTTCTTTGTTATCTTGATCTTTTATTAGTAATCACCAGATTCAAGCACTCTCTTCATCAAATATTATTTTTTTCTTTTGTAGTATACAAAAATTATATGATATTTGGTTTATATTTATTGTTTGCGTGCATGCATATATTATTGTTGACAGAATGCAATACTACCTAGTTTGTTATTTTCTCAAGAATAAGTAATGATTTTCATACATGTAAAACACATATGTCCTACCAATATTATTGCTTCTGTATAGCTATATTTTATATAAATTGAAAATTTTAATATATATTTTATAATTTAATTAAATAAAAACAAAAATTACTTAAATTCTTTTATAATAAATATTTGAATTTATCTCACTTTTTTCAAATAATACTAATTGTAACTAACCTTTATTGCTCTTTTTCGTAATTAGACACTCAAAAGTATTTTTTGGAAAGATTGACCAAACACAATTTGCTTATTATATATTACTCTACAAAAGTAATTCTCAAATGAATTGGCCAAACACGAACTGATAATCTCCAAAAATACTTTTTAGAAAAGCACTTTCTAAACAAAGATATAATTTTCACAATAAGTAATTTTTGGAAGTTTAGCCAATAAAGATCTAAGTTGAAAAAGGAGCTTTTAGAAATTAAAGTATCCATTCAAAACAAATCATTTGATAAGTACAATAATTGGACTTAATAAGAATCATTCATTCTCATGGAACACAAAAGATCTTTTCATTGTTATGTAACAAAAAGATATGATTTATATTTGCACTGCTTAACACAGGTAGCAAAAGAATGAGTTCTCTGCGAAAATTAGAACTTGGAGGTTCTAATTCCAACTCGACCAACATCTTACAATCCCTAAAATCATTCTCATCTCTCGAGTCCCTTGCTTATATACATAGTAATCTCACAGCTCCGGTCATCACTTACGGTAATCTATAACTTAAAAATATTCTCTACCTTAGTACGTATCACCTCTTTTGTTTTTTAAATTTGTTGTTTTTTCTTTGACTCTCTCATATAAGCATTAACAAATTTGAGCTCATTGGAGTACCTATACTTGGAGGGATCTGCTTTAAATGACAACTTTCTCTCAAGCATTGGACAAATGACTTCTCTTAAAGTGCTGAGTTTGGCTTTTGGCGGCAATTATGGCACCCTCCCCAATCAAGGTAGCGTGATTTTCTCTTT